GGTTTAAGTGGCCTATTTCCATTTGGAGGACTTAAATCCAGGCAGATTCTCGGCCCCTCGTTAAGCAAAAGTCCCTCTGATCATCTTAAACAGTCAGTTGTGGGAGGTCATGTGACGTGACAGGTGATGCCGCTCCCGGAAGGACTCGTTGCATATGGGGCACTTGAGTTTCTCCTCGCGCCGCCGCTTGACGAGAGGCTCCATGGAGTACTCTTTTTTGTGGTGTGATCGCATGTGGTAAACCAAGTCTGAGGTCATGCGGAAGGAGGCATTGCACTTGGCGCACCAGTTCTGAGCCGGCAGGCAGAGGGAGGTGAAGGAGGGAGGCAGCAGCGTCAGCGCCGAGGGCATCTGAAGCTGGATAGGTCCGGAGTTCTTGGGCCAGAAGGCGGTGGTGTACACGAAAGGGTTCTGCTTGCCAATGCCAGCGGGCACGGGGCAGTTGGCGCCAAGCTCTGCACCCTGCAGCTTGGCGGCAAGGTGGTCAGCCTGGTAGAGTCTGTTGGAGGAGATGGTATCACCCACCGCTGGGTGGCAGTCCAGCAGCTTGGGGGGCATCACCAGTGGTGAGATCTGGGAGAAGGAGCGAGCTGGTTGGCTGAAGGCACTCTTCCTCTCTGTGCCGCTGCCGCTGCCCTGTTGGCCGACCGAGGTGAAAGCGCTGCCCATGGGCGAGGTCTGGGGTGGCTGCGTTTCAGAAAGAACCTGCCTGATGTTGAGGTGCTTCTCCACAGAGTTGCTGATTGGGCGACCTCCGTCTTTGTTCTCAGAGTTGGAGTTCTGGAGGTTTTTGTTGCCACTATGGTGTTTGAGGTTCTGAGGTGACTTCTTGACCTCTGTGAAGGCGCTGCGCTTGACCTCTCCATGCTCTGTAGATCCCGGCGGGGAGAAGGACCTGTGGTTCTCCTCCAGGCCATACACTCCTCTGTAATTCTGTGCAGAACTTGCAAGCTCTTCCTTAGACTTGGAAACTGAAAGGCCCGGTCCTCTGGACTCTCTGTCCTCGACTTCTGAGAACTTTCTCTTCCCCGAGCTCTCGCTGCAGATCTCGGCCTCCTTGTCAGTGGGTGAGCTGCTCCGGTTCTTCTCCAGATCCCGCGCCAGGTTGTGAAAGTCAGTAGAGGGTTTGTTGTTGTCGTGCGGACTGCTGAAGCCTTCCGAGCGGCCCAGCTTTGGGCTGTTCCGGCTCGGGGTTGTGTTTGGTCGCTCTATGCTGCTCTCTTTGCCAGGCTCTTTGTCTGCCTCTGTAATACTCTGCAGCCTTTTGGTGCAGCGGAACCGGAGGTGGGCCAAGAAAGGGAACTCAAACTGGAATCGCTGGCTGCAGTCTGGACAGGAATGGTGGGATGAACCTGGGAAGCAGAGAAATGGAAGATTACAATTTGAAGATAGAAAATCTGAAACTCTAAAGTATGTTGCCAGAGGTGGGACCTTCTGGTCCTCAAAGGGCTGTTGTCCTGTTTGTTTTAGATGCTTTCCTGCTTAAACATTTCTAAATTGAATGAGCGGGTCATTAGTAATCTGCAGAAACTGGTCACAGGTTAGGAGATTATCCAAATATCTAAAACACACAGCACACTAGCCCTCCAGGAATGGACCACCTCTTCGTCTGCACTGCCGTTCCAGTTGGGAGTTCAGTCAGCTCACCTTTGCTCTTGGCCGGCGCTCGGCTGGAGCTGAGCAGCAGCAGGTCGATGAGGTCCTTGCCGTACCAGACCAGGAGCTCTTCGTCCTTCTCGATGCGGCGAAGCGAGCGGTAAAACAGCTGGCCGTTCTTCACGTAGGCCTCTAGGTTCTGCTCCTCTTTGTCCCGAGCTGACTGGACCAGTCGCAGCCACATCAGGCCCTCCGAGGTGCTGTTGGCGGCCGAGGTGTCCACCTGCACATCATGAGGATACACGGATTTTTATTAATATATTGACCTAAAATATGTCACCTGATCACAATGTGTATTTGCAGTAATTTCATATTAGTACAAAAAAAAACAGATTATTAAAAAAGAAGAAGAAGAAATCATCTTAGGGATAAACTCAAATATTGAACGTTTCAGGCCTTTTCAGATATAAACTGGAAATCAAATGAAAGCTCCTTTTAAAATAAACCTGTCGGTGTGCACTGGAGGTTTAACCCACCCTGAAGATGTAAGGTGCTGTGCGTTTGTCGGTGGATTTCAGCGCGATGAAGGCGATGCTGTCGTACAGCGACGTGTGGCTCAGCACGCACGGCCCGAAGATGGCGTTCTCCGGGATGTCGCACGTCGTGTAGACGCTCGTAAAAATGTCCGTCAGACACTGCTGGACCGCCTTGGCGTCCCCGTCCCATGCCAACTTCTGAGAGCTGGACTCCTCCATGTCTCACTGCGGGGACACAGAGAAAAACACGCAGGACTTAACCTCCGTTCAAACCCGACCGGGAGGAGCGGGACCGTACCGGGATCTTCAGCTTTTATTTTCTATATACGGAGAAAATAGCAATCCGTGTGAGACGAAGGGGTTGTTAGGTGGTGATCTCCTGTTCCCGAAGACAGGAAATAAATAAAAAATAAATAAATAAATAAATAAATAAATCTCTTCCGATACTAAATGAGGCGACATGGGCGCCATTCCGGCCTGTTTTCCAAACCCATATTTAGCTCAGAACTGCATCAGCTTATTAAAGTCGAAGTTTTAAAATTCCACAATAATTTTATTTACAAGATAAATTATTTGTAATTATTATTATTATTATTATTATTATTATTGAAGAGCTTATTTTTATACTAAGTGTTTTAAAAATCATAATTAAATAAGTCTCTTCATTATTCTTACAAATGCTAATATGAATATAACTATTTTTAACTATTTACTCCAAACTCTCTTTTTATTAAAATAATACATTGTTTTAAGCCAGTATGAATATTCACATTAATCTTCTCCATCTCTGTTTTAAAATTACTCTGTAATATTTTGTAAAACAAAATATTATATTCCTTTAATATTCCCGACTTGGTTTGTAAAGTTCTCCCCTGAACAAAAACAGCTTTTCTTTTTTACTCGACATTTGCATTATTGATTTCTGTAAAAAAAATTAAAAAATAAAAATAAATATCACAGGTTTAAATTAAAATTGTGGAAAATAATTGAACAAAAAGCGTTTTTATTGTAGATTCAGAGCAGGAAAAAACTGAAGTGAGTCCCTGAGTGGGAGCTGCTGAGGTCCACTGGCGTGGGCATGTCCAGTGGGTTTCAAGTGGACCGTCAAAGTCAGCGGTTTCATGTCAGCCAGCCTTTCTCTCCTTCCTACAAGCGGCAGCGTATGTCGCCTCATTACCATAATCCAGCACTTTCCCCTCTGAGACTGTAATTAAAGCAGCACGACCAGTTAATTATTTCTTTTCTCCCTTTCTAACCTCACAATGTGTGCGTTTAGGCGGCTGCATGTGGCCCCTCATCCCCTCCCTCATTTTCTGGACTTAAATAAGGCTAAAAATGCGCACGGACAGCCGCACCTGATGCACTGCTATTTGGCACTAATGCAGAGCCAATAACTTCAAAAGGCCGTGAAAGATAACAGGAAGGAGAGATAATGTCTCACTAATCTGCAGATCTATTAAAAGAGAGGGACATAAAAAAACCGTTAAATTGGATAAAATATATATATTTTAAAAAAAAATGTTTTTCACCCAATTATTCTTCGGCAATAAATCGTAAAACCATAATAGAGAAACATCCAAAATGCAAAAAGTAGAAGCAAGAAGAAATCCACAGTTCGGTCTTTTTCGCTCCACACAGTGGGAGGAAATTTTTTACGAATCTAAAACTCGTTGAAACACAGAGAGAGCGATTCATTTCTCAGTTTTGTTTGTTTTTATAGGCTGTTTTTGTTGTTACAGTTATTTAAAACTATGCTTATACAGTCGCAATTATAGTTGATTTTCACAACACTGGTTTTTCAGCAAGTTTAAGTGGCTCTTAAATCTGAGCAGTAATTAATGCTTCCATACAGACTCACTCAAACTATATATATATATATATATAAGAAGAAGAGCACAAAAAGCTGCCCGTTTTTACGCGCACCGCTTTGGATAAAAGAAGAGACGAAGAGCTGAATTTTTGCACTTCCATAAGATGGACAGCAGCCGCCCTCCCATTCAGACCCGCTGCGGGTGGAGCGGGTGGAGCGAGGGGCTTTATTTCCCTCTAACCCATCTGCTAACGCCGCGCCAGGCACAAAGCTGCCCTAAATCAGCGCTGCAGCCGAAACATCTGCGGGTTCCAGCTCCGCCAAGTCAAGAGAACATAAATATGAGGCCCAACCAAAGCACTAACCTACCTTTCCCTCGGTGAAGAGGAGCAATATTCCACAAGCGAGTGGGGAGCGCTGACTCCAAACCCGTCTGAGAAACCAGAATGAGGGAAAAAAGATGTTTTAAAAATCCGAAAACTAGCAGGCGGACGCTGATGCCAGTGATGGAGGTGGTGGTGCTGCGCTCCCGGGCTGCTCCGATCAGAACATTTCCCCCCCGGTGCTGACAGTGACAGTGATGCTGCTGCTGCAGGGCTGCAGATCCTCCGGCTCTCTGGCAGGGCGCACCGAGCTGGACGGATGAAGGCAGACAGAGAGTGAGACGGAGTGAGGCGCGCAGATGGGGCCCGGTGCTCTCTGGCTGACTGGCGCACAGACACACACTTTTTGTTTGCAGCACATAATCTACCCAATGAGGCGTGTCACTCTCCGTCTCCTCCCTTTAACTCTTCACTGGCCGACTGTCATTTGATGCGATTTATGGACGTGAGGAGGGATAAAGACCCCTCTTTCTCTCTCACACACACTCAGCCGCCCCCCTTTCATTATTATTGTAATTCAAATCACAATAGTTGGTGGTCGTATTGGGATAAAGTGACATTTAAGCAGCGGGTTGTTGGGAAGAAATTAAAGAGCAATTGGGCTTAAGAAATGCATTATTATTATTATTATTATTATTATTATTATTGCTATTATTGCTATTATTATTTGTTTATTTTATTTTTTTAGGGATCAAGCTTTAGCTCTCACCCTATAAATAAAATGGACTTCCTTGTCTTCTGTATTTGAACACATGATGTCTATTTAAATTTGTTGATGTTTCCAACTTCCTGTCTGATTTCCGGACTCGGACTCCGGCAGCACCGGGCCGCCGTGTCTCGGCCGCCGCCTCAGCCGTCTCTGCATGCGGTCAGACGTGCTGGACATCCCGGGTGTTTGACCCACAGCGGGTCCCATGCCGCCGCCGCCGCCGCCGCCGCCGCTGACTGACCGACTGGCTGCACTTTGCTCGGGTTCATTTAGGGGGCGCCAGTGTATAATGTGCGCATATTGAGCGACTGAGATTTGGACAGAGAGGAGAGCAGCAGGAACAGGTGAGAATGAAATGCTGATGGTTAAACTTTATTGCCATCAGTTTATGTTCTAAGTTTAACCTGATTTTTAAAAATGTATTTATGGGAGTCCCGAAATCAGGCTTTCTATGTAAAATACTACCTATACGTTGGTTATGTTGCATTGACGGTGAAACATTCTCAGTTCCTCCATCACCCTGATACTTTAAAGATGCAACAACAGCATAAATTCGCCAGTCACCTTCTTCACCTCACATGCAGACTGAACACAAAAACTTATTTTATTAATGCTCACCTACTCAGCACAGAACAAACACGACAAATTATGACAAATACTCCATTTGTTTAGCAGAAGAAATAACTTCAAGTTTAAAAACCTTTTGCTACTTTTTTATTTCAAAAGATCTAACAGAAGTGTGAGGACTTTGATTTGCATTTTGCACTTTTCTCCGTTTAAGTTTGGTTGGCAGCAAATCTTCCAGCTCTGAAATGATTCCTCTAAATAATAATGACTGATGTCAGTTTCATAGAATTGATGGATTATAAAGAAACTGAGCTGCAGAGGTAAAAAAATAAAAAATACTGATTGTGAAGCTGACAGTTCCTCCTCTATGCTCCGATTAAAAGACAAAAATTGCAGGTGTGGACTTTTAGAATATAATAAAATATGTATAAACTGATATGCTGCTTTCTCTGCCTGAAATAAAACTGGATTTTAATCTGAAAACACAGCGAAACACTGAAACAAGTGTTTGTATGAGTCATAACAGCTCCAGGTTTTATGAACTGCAATGTTTGCATGGATTACTTTTTTACTCTTCAATTAATTTTTGTATCTTTTTACAATATGACATTCTAAAACACAGAATAGAACAGAGTAATAGAATAAAGTGAAGTTGTAAATCAATACACAATAAATAAATACTAACCAAAAATGATAAACATAAAAAATCAGCACACACAGCAGAGCAACAGTAGGAGAGCTGAATTCAACACGACACATTCAGAGTAAAATAGAGTGTAAAGATATTTTGACATAAAAAAATTACAAATGTGAAGAAATAAATTTTCTCATGAGCAAAAATGCAGAAAGACAAACAAATAGTATGTCAGAAAAAATCAACAATGTATCCAATACATGGATGTCTATAAAAAAAAAGCCAATATGTTTCATTATATTATGTTTCACATGGAAACTAGTTTGCTGTAGGAAGCAGTTTGTCGCTGAAGCAGTTCCAGTCTGACGCAGGAGGAGTGGAGGAACATCGTCCAGGAGCGAAGCTGCTTTTTTCCCTCCTGTCTCCCACCACCCACCCTGGGTGGAGCTGCTTCCCCCCTGCTGAGTCTACCTGCCCTCTCTGTCACTATTAGGGCTGCAATCCTCTTCTTGATGACCTGTGTGTTGGAGTTTTCCTGCAAGACCAAACTGGTTTTAGTGTTACAGATAAAAATCTGCATCATGTTGAAGCACAAAATCACATAAATTCAGAGCACAGCTCAAATCTAGAACAGCTGATGAGCAAACACCTTTTAAAGTCGCATGAAAACGATCTCTGAAACATCCTGTTTTCTGAATTAACCCGTTAGCATCAGCTAGACGAGCCTACAGGTGTCAAACCAGCTGCTTTTAATTCACTGTAAGGACAAATCTGAAATCTGCACATTCTGTGGTCTCCATTCATGTTTAGAATTTAAATTACACACTTATAGTCGTATATTTAAATTTTATGTTTTTTCAAATATTATTTTGCAGACTTTTATTTATTTTATAAATGTGCTGCCTTTGCTTTGCAGCACTCTGTAGCCTAAGAAAATAACACATTGCTGATTTAAAAAAATAACTAAAATACAAAAAGAAATAATGTATCTTAGATATATTTAATGATTTGCATTCATTATTCTTTTATTTTTGTGTGTTTCTTGTTTTTGTGTCATCTCTTTGCAGATGGCCTGAGATGGCAGCGTACTGAAGGCAAATTTGAGCTCAGATCATTTGGAGCATCCTGCCACGGACCGAGCGATCAGGAGAGCACTCCAACATTTTGGGCGGGGGGGAATAAAATATGCACACAATACAAACCCACAGCGGATCAAACACAGTTGTCACAGTTTGCTGAGAGCTCCGGCTTTCTGGCCTCGCACTCCGTGTTTGGGAAGAAATTTGGGCGTTTTTCTCTAATATTCAGGATGTTCATCATGTTTCTGGAAAAAAACAACTGAAGACTGTATATATGTGCACGTTGTAGTGTAAAATTAACTGTCTTACAGAGTGTTAAACTTTGAGGTAGTCATGTAGAAGAAATACTAATTGTTGGCATTCTGGAAGAATAAGTGAATTTTGTAAAACACGTGGTAATTTACTATAAAATGTACTTTTCAGGCGTATTTTGAATACATTTTTCAATAAATTCTGAGGAAGAGACGAAAGGAACCAAATGTGTTAAATTTAACCTGGTGTGAGGAATTTGAGGAAGCGGACAGTGAGATGAAGTGTGTCACGATGTCGGGTTTTTTTCTCTGTTTAAAGTCAGACATTCACAGCTGAGGGCTCAGTGTGTCTGTGAAGCATCTGCATTGTTTGACAGCATGGATCTTTTCTTTATCACGTCTCCTTTCAGGCCATCATCACAATGAATTTAGATTTTTCAGCCTCGAGTCTCACAGTAAAGATCGATGTGTAAGAATGAAGAGGAATTCCCGTCTGAACCTAGAAGACGACAGTTTGGTTTTAAGAATAAGGCAAGACAGAAATTTCAGTTTAAACCAAGGAGGAAAATGTCATTTATGTCAAAAGTCATTTATGCATTACAAACTGAGGTTATGGCACAAATAAATCACCACATTTAGTCTCAACTTAATATGGGAATGCTTCAACAACAGGACAAAAACACCCAAATATCAAATAAAAATACTCACTGCTGCTTAGGAGGCTCTACAGAAAAGGCTGATTTGTCTAACAATAAGTTTAATAATGAAATATTTGATCAAGTCTAAAACTGTCAGTAGAGGATTCCATAATTCTTCTAATATAAAAATGAAAAACAAAGTTAGGGATGTTTAATGTTTCATCATGTTTCGCTAAATTAGTCATTTGAAGGAAGGTGGAAATGACTCCTTGGATCAATAATATAGAATAACTGCTTAAGGTTGTCATATTTTGTGTGACAGACGGGTTTTCCGTACATCCACCACTGCCACTTCATCTCTGATATATTATAAAAAGAATCACATTTCTGATGAATATAGAATAAAAACATTCCTTGAGGAACCCAGAATATGTTGTTTTTTTCTCCTTCACTCAGATTTTTGATTGCCAAATGAATCCTGTTCTGCCACGAATGACCCAGACCAGCTTAGTAGTTCCAAAGAATCAAACCAAGACTTCAATTTCTTGCAGATTCAGCGGTTTTTAATCTGATTAATTAAGAGTGAGTGAGTGGTGACCTTTAACCTTGTCTATGAAGTTTCCACATTAATCTAAAGATAATTGTGACCATTCCAATTTATTGATCATGTACTCACTTCACAAATGACTGCAAGCAAATGTCATCTGCATACATGTAAATATTGCATCAGATGTTGTAATATTTTATATTTTAAGGAAAAAAGAGTAGTTATTAAATGGAAAGTGAAAATGGAGGTTTGAGATTATATTTGTTCTCTGAGTTACACGCAGGTAGCAAAAAGCAGCAGATTGGTTTTATGCTCTAATTTATTCAGTTACAACTTATTCTATGTGAAAAAAAAAAATTATACTTTAATATCAGTTCTGAGATTGTGTTGTATTTTGTGCGGAATATGTCTGACAGACAGGAAACAGGATTGTATCTCCAACAAGGTGATTCCCAAAGAGCTGCTCGCTGAAAACTTGGCAGACACGAGAATCACCTGAAGGACGATCCATCTCTCAGGTCTACTCAGGTTTTGGTCGCATTTTATTTTCCAAGTCTCAGCCGTTGGAAATACAATCTGCTGGAGTTTTCTGTAATTTTGAACATCAGTGTCACCTGCCGGGATGAGACAAATAATTGTAACAATAACTGTTTGTGTAAAAATGTGTGTGGGAGGTTTGCGGAGCAGCACAGGGTGTTGTAAGTCAAATTACAGAACCAACAACTCAGACTGTCACATCTCATCCATCAGCGTGACGAAAAGGAGGTTACAACTGTCTGCATAATGTGGATGCAGATCCAGCTGCAGCAAAACAAACATTAAAATCACAAATGGGTGTTGATGTTTGGTCGCATTACCTGTCCAAATGAAACCTCCATCAGATCTGGGAGGTTAAATGCTGTATGAGATTAGCAGCTCCGTTCCCACACCATGTTTAATTCCCCGTCTCTGTCCGACATTCTCTGTCTCTGTGAGGAGTTTCTGACAGCATCATATTTTTATCATGCATCAACAGGCGCTTTTTAATATTTCATCTGAAAAAACATAACCAGGGGAACTGCAGGACCAAACTTTAGCTTTCGTCTGCTCATTGTTGATACGAAACTCTGTGATGAGTTAATTCCCTTCCCTCTCATTGGGCCACTGCCTCTCATCAAATATTAGGCATGTTTTTTGTGCTTTGGAGAGTGTGTGTGTGTGCGTGCGTGTGAGTGTGTGTGTGTTATGGAGGAGCTCGAGAGGCCTGTGGATTGATCTTTGATGGGTAAACACAACACAGGAAAAGTGCAGTTATTTAGTCGGACGTTGGAATCATCAGCTGTTAACAGTCTGTGCAACACAGGTGGTTAATAAATGATCATCCGCTTCAGTAAAAGGAGCTGATTATGTATATTTTAAACAGAGAAACACAATTATTTCGAATGATAATGATAAAAAAAGCTTTAGAGAAGCCTAAAAGTTTAATATGACATCAAGTTAGACCTTTTTTGCCAAACATTTCTGCTTTTGAAAGATTTTCAGTTTTTTTGCCACAGTTCTCAAATTTATGTTGAGCAAATCGTCTCCAACAAGGATAAGAATGGATTTGTTACTTTTATTGCTAAGACTAAAAATATGCATCTGTGCAGCTGATTAATTGAAAGCTGAATTAGAAAACATTTTATTATATCAAAACCAACATCAATTTTATTGATTAAAAATGCTTTGATTTTAAACTCTTTGCTGTCGCTCAGCCACTGGCATTACCACATACTGGCATGATTCAAATGAAGAAGAACGGGGAGTTTGAGTCTTAACCTCCACAACACAACAATTTGAGTGTACAGACATCAACACACCTACTTGTAAACACACATTAGAGAATGTATTTATCATAAAATGTATAGGGAAATTATGAACCATATCAGAACTATAAAACCTTCTTAAACTTGTCGACTCAAACATCACGCTATGAGTTTAAGGTCAGAGATGCTCTTAGCGAAACTCAGTGATCAATGACCAGAAATGAAAAAGTCTGATCTTTTCCCAAATCATAACTACATCCACTTCTCCCAGTAAAGGCTCTGTAGTTTTGTTTTTGTTGGAAGGAAGGACCAGGCTACTTTTATCTTCAGTAAAGTTTTTAAAGTGAAGTCAGTAACTTGGAACAATAAGATGCTATAAAAGCTTCAAAAGAAACAACTCTTTCTTTCACATCTCGATAAATGTATGCGGTTTATTCTGGCTGCAAGAAAGCGAGAGAGAGCAAGACTTTCAGCAGATAACAACAAGGTTGAGGATATTGTAGCAAAATTGCTGTTTTGTCTTCTTGAACTTTGATTCTTACACTGAACATGTTGGCAGACTTCAGAAAATCTCAGCCAAGCTACATTTTCTATGTTATATTGCATATTTTGATACAGAATCCACACCTGGCCAGTATCACCTATAAACATACCGATACATTTTATTATTTAGGTTTGATATGTCTTCAAACTTTGGACCTTTAGGTGTATTTCTGATTTCTCTTTGAAATATTTTATTAAAACCTAAAATAAAGTTTAAAGGTGTCCACATAATATTTTTAACAATTAATAAACAATAAAAATAAAAAAACTGAATGCATTTTTCCTAAGGCAAAGTTCATAAAATTAGGATTTGAGAGCTAATCAAGAACAAATCTTTGAGGTATATTTGAGAAACTACAACAAAAATAAAATAAAATAAAATCTTACCACTCCAGTTCTGATCCTGATGTCGACGTGGTGTAGATAAATCTCACTATGGTGAGTTCGCTTCTCCTCATCAACAGGAGTCAAACCAGATTGTTTGGCTGATCCACACATCCAAAAATTAAATTGCTGTTTCTGTCACACATTTCTGTTTTCTGCAGCAAATTCACATAAAAACCCTAGACATATCTGAACAAACAAGAGACAAAAGGTGACATCTTATTCAGAAAATAATGTCTGACTTCCAGTGAGCCTATGCAGTATTGATACATTTGCTTGCGTTTTAAATAAACGTGCACTCTTGTGATTTGGGATTTAATATTTCCGCGTTTAATTTTGAGCTGAATGTTTTGTGCCTCGGGGCCACGTTGGAAATAAGTGGAAACAAATATGTCTGCAGCGTGTTTGTTTGTTGCATCCACAAATGTATTCAACCAAATCCATTTTTTTAAGATGCAGAGGCACGGTGCACATTTTTTATTTTTCAAATAATAAATGATTCCCCGAGATAAACAGTTGCATGGTTATTACAGTATGTGAGGGATTTTTTGGCCCCAGCTCCTCCGTCTCTCAATTATCTGTTAATGATATCATCACTGCTGAAGTGAGTCAACAAGAAAGGCCTGGCTCTGCTTGGAGTTTTTGATAACACAGCCCAGATGCACCGATGGAGGATCCAAACACCTAACTGACACGGCGACGAGCAAACCGACACGCTGTGAAGACTGTGAGCGTGGGAGTTGCTGCAGACCTTCCAGTCCTTTTCCGAAGGAGGGCAGAAGAGGAGAAGAAAGGAAGAGGCAGCGACTCCAAGGAGGAATCAAAGAGGAAGTGTGGGATGTTTGTGTCAGAGGAGGACAGGGAGACACATGCAGAACGGGGAAGACATTCCTGCCGCGGTGGAATTTCAGACATCTGTGCGTCCAAAAGGTTCTGGCTCGTCCAGTCACAAGTTTATATAAATAAATGTCAATCTGGACACTGAGTCCCAGTGATATAACAGTGACTCAACTAGCTACCAGTTTGTTAAAGCTCCTAAATCTGTTATTTCTGTCCTCCTACATTACACAGGAAGGGAAGCTCTTATTTGATCCAAATGGAAACAAGAAGAAGAACGCAGTTAGGTAAATGTGATACAAAGAAAGATTTTATTATGAAAGTCTAATGGATGGATTTATGGATCAAATGGTTATGAACAGACCTGACTTCCATTTCTATCTGTCAGTTCATCCGTTGTCCTCCAGTGATGAAAGTCAAAGTGCAGCACAATGAAAAAACACTAAATCCTACCAAATATGGCTGCTTTCTGCTTAAGTTATGTTATTACATTTGAAGTAAGACAAAACTAACTTACCAGTAACATTTCAGCAAGATATAGAAGCCTGAACTTGGAAACAAGACATTTTTCCCACAAGTAAAATAATCTGCCAGTGAAACTAGTATTTTTCATCATTAGTAAGGAATTACTGACTTAAAACAAACTATCATTCATAGAGTAGATGCCAGTTTACCTGAAGCTCTTGAACAGAGACCCGTATTGACTCAGAGGGGGTTTCCAGGACCAAGTCCTCCTTGGGTTTGGATTCCCTGAATCATTAGTTGTATTTCTTCTCAGTGGCATTTTCTGATATGACCAAATACAGCTCAACACCCAGGGAAGTGTTGTGACATAACACTTCTCCCAGTTATGCCTTCTGAGCTGGTTTTCTGTTGCTTTTCCTCATATCCAGACAATGAAGATCAGAGATTGTAAAAAAAATGTGCAGCTGTTGATTGTAGCTGGATAATAACTTTGAAGCTTTTAATTTGAGACTCTGAGATGGGAGTAAATTTTACATCCGATTTATTAGGATGGACTGGACTTTTCTACATGGAACATGGATTCTTTAAAACACAATCTGAGATTTCTGAAGTCTTGACGTAAACATTTTTGAAAAAGTTAGTATTTATAAGTCTTATGTAGGATCAAAATTCCACCATATTGGAATTGTGTATTTTTTCTGGTCAACCCTGGACTAAACACAGATTTGAGATGGAAAACCTTTTTGTGAAAACAAAAACATGGGATAATTTCTCAAAGTTATAGTAAAAATCTGTTGGGCTGCATTCAATTTGTAGTATTGTTTTAAGCTTAATATATGTTTGTGCAAAAGGTATTCCA